TCCGCCAATTGGAGGCTCATCCGAGTCGGCTTAAGCCCTTGCAAACCTAATTTCTTATAGATAGAATAGGGCATGAGGTTGATACCGGCTCTCAAGTCGAGCATCCCGGTTGTAGTCTTTCCATTCCCGATTGTAATCTTCATGACAAAGGCTCCCGGGTCACACTCTTTCCGAGGTATGGTAGTCGATGCGACTTCGGAAATCATCACCTTCTCATTATCCACGAACCTCCGCTTTTTCGAAGCTAAGTCCTTGAAAAATTGAACATATGCCGGCACGTTTTTATTAACGTCTAGAAGTGGGAGGTTCACGTTTACCTTCGAGAGCATGTCAAAAAGATCTTGAAATTGACGCTCCTTCTTTGTATCTTTCAAACGGCTCGGGAATAGGACCGGTGGTCGGTAGGGTGTATTTGCTTTGTGCAAGGCCTCACGGGTATCTTTCTTCGAACTCTCCTCCTCAATTTTCCCATCTACTACGGCTTTCCCTTTCGAATCCTTAACCTTATCACCCGGCTCTTCATCATCCTCATCAACAACAACCTCAACAACCTCATCTTTCTCGGGCATCTCAACACGATTATCAATCATCTTACCGTTCCTCAAGACCGTAATGGCATTCAAGTGCTCGGGTTGACTCGGGAGCTTGTCTTTCATTTTGCTCCTTTGGATATCCCCTATGGAACTCCCGAGTTGCCCCACTTGAGTCTCGAGGCATTTAAGAGAGGCTTGAATCGATGACACTCCCTTGATGGTATCGTGCAATGTGGAAACGGTGGAGGCCAATGATTGAAGGCACTTCTCTAAAATTTCGATCCGAGTCTCCGAGGATTCTCCGTTAGCATTCCTCTCGGGCTCGGGTGGAGGTGGCAAAGGTTGCCTCGGGATGAAGCCTCCACGTCCTTGTGGATATCCTTGAAACTCGGGCCTCAGTTGGAACGGTGGTCAGTTGTTCGGTTGAGCATATTGTTGAGGGTGGGAATAGGCTTGTTGTGGTGCCAGTTGGGGTGGGTAGGTGGCTTTCGGGTCCCTCCATAAAAAGTTGGGGTGGTTTCGCCACCCGGGATTGTAGGTGTTCGAGTAAGGATCGTTTTGAACCCGGGGGACGTACCCTTGGATAGCATTGATGTCGTAGGGGACTCCTTCAAGATTTGGATCGTAGCCCGGCATCATATAATTCGGGCACGCATGTCCTTCGTGGCCGGCCTCTCCACAACACCCGCATACTTCGGCCATCATAACTTGGGTCGATTTTGCATCCCTTAGTCGAAGTTGCTTTAATTCCTCCTCCAACGAGGCAAGCTTTGGCGAGAACGACATCGTTCGAGGACCCGGTAGTTTGTGTAGCCTCATTAACGGGGGCCCTCTTACGAACGCTCTTCCTTTGCGAATTCTCGCTCAACATCTCATACAAAGTTATACATTTCCTCCTCCGTATGGCTCCCTATGTCTCCACCGGCCGCATGATCGACCATATATTGAAAGGTTTGGTGGAGACCATTGTAGAAGAATTGGTTGAGCACACCGAGGAAAAAGTGGTGATGTGGGCATTGAAGTTGATAGCCTTTGAATCGTTCACAAGCCTCGTGGAAAGTCTCACCGATATTTTGGCTAAAGCTAGCCATTTGAGTCCGGAGGTCGGTGGTCTTTTGATGCGAGTAGTACTTGCTCATGAACTTCTCGTATACGGCTTCCCACGTGTTGAGCGAGCTCGGAAGCAATGTCATGAACCAAGTTTTGGCTCGGTCTTTCAAGGTGTACGGGAAGCATCTCATGCGGAGTTGGTTCTCGATTAGGCCTTGGAGAGGGAACGTGTTGACGGTTGCATAAAAGTCTCGGATGAAGTTGAGGGCATCCTCTTGGGCTAAGCCGTAGAATGATGGGAGTTGGTTTAGGTGGATGGTCTTGAGATCATAGTTTCGGACCGCCTCCCCGAGCACGAGGCACGAAGTGTTATCTCCAATGATAGGCCGTGCGAAGTACCTCATGTTCGGGGGAGGTTGTGGAAGTTGATCTTCTTGATTCGTCATTGATTCGGATTCCGGTTGAGGCTCGTCTATGTTGAGTTCAACGAAAAGGTCGATTGATGGATTCTCCTCTCGGGGTGCACGCCTTCGTCTACCTCGCATAAACAAAAACAACAACTATACCCGGTGAACGTATCAATGGGAAGCGAGATAAAGACACAAGCAACAAAAACAAATAAACGACAAAAAGCAAGAGAAATAAAGAAAAACGCGGAAATTAACCAAGGTTCACAAAAATCAAGAGAAACACGAGAAAAATAGACAATCAAGTAGAAAACTAGGCGTCCTACTTGCCTTCCCCGACAACGGCGCCATTTGTTTAGTAAAGATTTGATGGGCAAGGGATAACCGAGCTACCCGACTCGGGTCGATCTCGAAGGAAGGCTATTCGTAGCTTTGTCTACTAAATGATCGTCCAAAATCACAAAAAGTGAAAATAAAGTCCTAAGCATTCTAAGCAATTGATTGGATGGTTGATTAACGCTAATCGAGCACTTAAAAACGAGCAATTAATTGAAAGCAAGATAAAATCACGAGCAATTAGCAACTAGATCACCGGAGTCTCATGCCATGACCATATCGGGATGATAATCAATCGACAAATGGAATAAACGAGCTACGAGCATTAGATTGCTAACCCTAGTCGTCTAACCGAGATCAACAAGCAATTAACGGCTCTATCTACTCAAGCAAGCAATCAAGTTCAAGCATTTCCACCATCATCAATCAAATCCAATTTACTCTAATGAACATTATAAGTAAAACGGAGCAAAAACCGAAGTAAAGAGCTTTAAAACTAAATATTCATTCTCCCATTGCATAGACGATGAAAAACGGAGTCAAAAGCTCGAAACTTGAAAGAAACCGAAGTCGCCGGAAAATCTCACGGAAAATAGCATAAGCTCCTAATCTAGAGAGCAAAAATAAAGCATAAACTAATTTCCCAAAGAGGAAAATTGAAAAATGAGAGTTGGATCCCCAAAATGCAAAGGACAAAATGTATTTATAGTCTAGCCCCAAAACACACTAAAACACGCACATTAAAAATGAACACTCTCGACGTCTCATCAAAATTCGCGAGCTCGCGGGCAGGGATGTGCACGGGCGCACTGGGTGCGCGACACTCTCGACCTCGCGCTCATATCCGCGAGCACGCGGGCAGGCGGATGCACGGGCTCGCACGGCAGATGGCGACACTCTCGTGGTCGCGCGCGGATTCGCGAGCTCGCGGTGTGTACGGGCTGCTGGGGGAAGGACTCTCGACGTCGCGGTTACTTCCGCAGGCACGCGAGCGTGCGATGTGCTGAGCGCTTGGCGAGGAGCTCTCGATGTCGCGGGAACTTCCGCGTGCACGCGAGCTTCGGTGGTCCAGCACTCTCGACCTCGCATTTATTTCCGCGAGTACGCGGAGGCGCTCGGGCATGCGTGCTGTTGTTGAACTCGCGTGGTCGTGGCACATGCCGCGCGGTCGCGAGCGCGCGTGATGGGCGTGCGGGGCTGCAGCGTCCGCGAGTACTGGGCTCGACATACTCGACCGGGGATTGTTCGTACGAATGGCTCGGAAC